TGGCTTTGGCAGTAGTTGTAGGTGAGTGCCCCAGCCGCTGTACCCTCGGAGAAAGAGATCCCAGTGGCCTTTGGATAAGAGGCTGGCTAGTCCCCAGAACTGGTATGGATGATGTGGAAAGTAGATATTCTGCCCCTACTGGGACTCAAACTCCAACCCCTCAGCCATCCTGCCCATGGTCACTTGCTATACTGACTGCTGTCAGCAAGTAACAGATTTTTCACTAAAATGAAATGAAATGAAACAGCAGCAGCAAAAACGATATGTCAAACTGAAAATTTGTACATCTGGAGTGTAGGCTTTATGAGTTCTACTTGGAACTCCTTGTTATTTTTGTTCAAACAGTATTCACAGTATAGAATTTTGATGATAATCCATTCACTGAAAGCAGCTCCTAGTCTGCAGATAGAGGTGACCCCACATGTCATTCTGCTGTTTTGTTTTGCATAACAAATGCATGATAGTGCATATATGGTCTTGGGAAATTACTAGAAGACATATGTTATGAGCATACAGCTAGTTATCCAGTCTTGTCATAATATGACAAGTAATAATAATTGTCCATAAATTGATGACCATGTGTCAGATGTGGGCTCTTTTTTCATTGGTCAGATTTAATTCATTGAGAGAATTCAAGTGTGAATGTTGCAAGGTTGTGTCTCACTGCCAGCCCCATTTACAGGCAGCCTTATATATGATATAATTTTACCCTGTTTGAGGTAAATTTTACACACACCACGAAATCTACACACACATATACGAGTTTGTGGCTTTGCTACTGCATTACCACTCAAGGATGTTGCAGGCATGTTAAGATTCCTGTCATGTGACATCATACGGTTTGGAAGATATGTACCATTGTTTTGGAGGAACTAGTTTTTTCAGTCTTCAGGATGTTGGTACCTGTCTGCTAAATTATACAGTGTCGCATCCCTGCAAACTATATTCTAAACATTCATTGTCATAAGAATCTCAGATCTATTACAAACATTTTATGAATTGTGGCTCTGTTTTCTTTAAATTTTTTCAGGATGTGAATCAACAGCTGTTGCACTTGGTGTCCAGAATATTAGCTTTTACATACCCAACAAAAAATAAACTTCATGGCCTGTTGTCCGCAGGCGAAACCAACCAAGCAACCTCTGCTTGTTGACAAAGTTAGTGCCAACTTTTGCGGATAGAGGGTGTCACATGATCAGCGCAACGGTTCCCCATGGCTGTTAATCTTGGTTTTCTAGACCGGAGCCGATATTTCCTTGAAGTAGCTCCTCAATTATCCTCACGATGCTGAGTGGACCCCATTCAAATCCCACTACTTCTTAGAAAATCTGGTGTCGCCGGGAATCGAACCCAGCGCCTCTGGACCTGTAGCCAGGAACTCTGACCACAGAGGCGGTCCTTTTCATACCCATCTTATTTTATTCTTTCAAAGTGAGAGAGAGAGAGAGAGCGTGTGTGTGTGTGTGTGTGTGTGTGCACGCACGCTTGCTGGAGGGTTACTTAATAACAGATATGCGAGACTGAAATGTAGACTTCATTTTAGAGTGAAAACTGTAATGGACACTGAGAACACACACTCTTGTTTATGTTTATGTGCGAGATACATCTCATGCAGGAAGTCATGGCTGTATACAGTTCTTTGTGATCAGAGATGCAGGGATGAAACTTGAATGGACTGAGTATCTTCCAGCTTCTGAAGTTGAACTCTGCTTCATGCAGGCGGAGATTTTTCATTTGTATTGTTTTAACCATGTATGATAAAATTACTGTACTGGTCGGGTAGGAGTTGCGGTAGCTCAGCCGATACAGTAGCAGACTACGGGCTGAATGGCTGGGATTTGATTCATGGCAGGGGCAAGATTTTTCTCTTCTCCATAGCATCCAGATCAACTAAGGAGCCCTCCCACCATCCTGTCCAAAGGGTATACTCTGGGTGGGGGGGGACGATTTCCCCTGGGATAAAACAGATGCAACCTGAATCTGACCACTCACCTCTATCCAGTGCCAAGGTCAAAAATGGTGGAGCTATACATCCACTTCACCATATGTCTTCATGGCATAGTGCTTAACTGATTAGCACGGACAAATTTACCTTTTTCACTGGTCAGGTAAATTCAGGTGAAGGGTGAGCACCTACATCACAACAATAAGGGTTCTAAAGGAGCCTGTCAAATCATTTTTACCCCACCCAGAGACCCTTCCTCAGAAACAAAATAAAAATGCTGTTTTCTATTACCTCAAATCAAGAGTGAAACTGGGTACAAATTCATGTTGATGTCTGGGCCTTCAGCTGTTTATTGTTCACATTACCTTAGTCACTGCCTAAGTTCACAGCCCAAATAGTTTCAGTCCATATTCAGACATGTACTGATATCCTTGACACTGATAATTTGTAGTTCTGAGCGTGCATTTTAGTTAAGAATTATGTGTACAAACAGTACAAAACTGTGTGTCAGGTAGTTAATGTTTGGTTTCTAATCATAATTGTTGTTGGACTTGTGTGTGTAATAAATTGACTCAGTTTAGCAAACATGCGTCAAAACGGACATTGCTGTTTGTGGTTAGTGTATAAATCCTAAGAATGATGCAGACCTGGTTTGAATGGTGGAAACTTCCATGTTGAAGTTTATTTTAAAAATTGCATGATTATTTGTAATTTGAGCTAAGGGGACAGTAACTTCAACATTTGTGGTTCCAGTGGAAATGACACTTCATATGCGATATACAGTATTTAATTTTCTAGTTTTATTTTTATTGAAATATGTCAGCCCTCATATGGATCAGGAACAGCCTTTCAATTAACAGACAAGTAAGAGAGAAGGTGCAATATGTTGGGGTCCCAGCATATTCATTCATTCTTGAAGTTAAAGTTATAGATTGTAATTAGATCTCTAGTTTATGTTATGTACAAATTTTGTATGGTGAAGTTTCTTACAGTCTTTCTTTTTACATTGAACATTTCAACTGACAACACTTGAATTAGATTGTCACAGAAAACCCTGTGAATCTTTGTTGTGATGAATTTAAATTAAATGGCAAGATATTATTAATCCCACACTGACATGACATCTTGGTCTCGTTGAACCTGAATAAATTTTCGGTCTTGAACTAGAGGTTATGGTGAGGTGGTTAGCACCCTCTGCTTCTTATATGGGGGTTTATATCTCCCCCTGAAGATCAGCTTCTTGGTTGAGATTTTTCATTTTTTCCTCAATACTGTGAGGTGAATGTGGGGTTAATATCTTAGACTGGACTTAGACTTCATCCTTCCATGTTCCTTCCAGTTCATTACACTCTATCATTCACTGTATAGTCATGGTAATGAAGCTAAAGTAAAGTTATCCCTGTAACAGGCCATGAAGGCCCATAGGGTTGTGAGACATTGAGGCTCCCACATTTTCTAGACAGTTGGCTCACAGATGGCGGTAAGGTTGTTAGCCTTACGTGCTGGCCGCCCTTTACCCCCCAGGAAGGTTCCTGGCATTCATTTCTGTTAAAGGCTGAGTCGACCCCAGGACCATAGTGCGGCTCTAAGGATTTTGGTAAATTGAGAAAATCCACCTCCTCTGGATTCAATCCTGCCACCTTCTGGCTTGTAGCATAGTGTCTCAACCAGCTATGCTACCACTTACCCCCTTTTATAATAGTACTATATATTTATTTATACCATTATCACCTCACTTTTTTATATCCATATCATTGTTAAATAAAGTGATATATTTCAGTTTTCAACAGCATCTTAAAAAGATTTTCTGAACAGTAAGCTTTCAGATTCACAGTAATTTGATATATATAATATACTCTGTTGTAGTCCATGATATGTATATTGGCCGTCTTGTAGTGCACTCAATCTCACATGTCACTTCACTACATGTTTCGGCATCACTGTGCTATCCTCAGGTGTGTTATTTAAGTCAAGCTATTGCATTGCTCGCCACACTCTTCACTAACTATAATAAAATTTATATATATCAAAATTTGTTAATATCCATCATCTTACACATCTTAACTCAAACTTGTGTATTACGTCATTCTTTGACTATGGGAGTCATTCTTCCTATATTTTTGTATACTGTGTCTTGTGATGTGTCCTTCTTTTTTGGCTGCGAGCATGGACGAGAATCAGTGCAACAGGACGCTAAAATACAACATTACTCTGTTGTATTTTAGCGTCCTGTTGCACTGATTCGTATCCATAATGTGTATATATTAACCATCTTTTAGTGCATACAGTTTCATTCAGCAATACAATGCACGCAGCCACATAAGAAAGACGCCTCATAAGACACAGTATATACACAATTAAAACATAAGAACGACTCCCATAAAGGATGAATGGCATTACACACGAGTTTGATATACGACATGTAAGATGATAGATCTTAACAAGTTTTAATATATAAATTTTATTATTGAACAACGACGAACACACATTTTATATCATTTTATAAATGGACACGTGATGGTAGGCAGTGCAATGGTTTAACATGATTAATACACCTGAGGATGGCAGAATGATGCCGAAACATGTAGTGTGAAGTGACAAGTGAAATTGTATGCACTAAAAGATGGTAAATATATACACATTATGGATATAATATACTCTGCCGTTAGAGAAATGTATGTGCAATTGTGTATCATGAACCTGGAGTTCCATTCAAATCATCACCCTGTTACATAACTGCAGTAATTATGTCATGTAGTTGAGTTAGGGTAACTACAGTGATGGTTGACAGGGTGGGTGAGCAGCATTTGAATCCTGGTAGAGATGATTTTCTCTTTGTTACCATGTCCATAATATTCCCTTAGTCTCGGTTCACTGCATGTCAGTCATTCCGTGGGTTCCAGCGTTATAACAACTAGGATGTTAAGCTGATTTTTCTCGCCTTTAGCCATGTATCCTGAATTGTAGAATGAGAAAGCTTAACCTCTACCGTAATATCTAGAGATAATCTTGTAGTGGTTTCTGTGTTAATGAGTATTGCATTTTTTGCTTTCAGGTGGATCTTGAACCGCAAGGAAGGTTACACATTCGCATTGAGCTTAAATGGAAGTCACAAGGTATTTAATTGAAACATTTTTCTGGTATAAAAGGCAGGGTCTTGAAATCTGAAGTTATTTGCAAAAACTTTGAAACAAAACTATTGTTACATGTTACTAACGTGACACAGGGTTTGGACTAATAATTGAATTCGTTGGATGCTTATTGTTCTTAGCTGCAGATGCATACAGCGCCTTTGTCACTCTTCTTAGGGGGCCCATACATGTACGGGTCTGGTTTGCGAGTCTGACTCGGCTCGGGTTCCAATGAGCCAAACCCATCCGTGCGTGGGTTGCCATGCTCATACGTGTGTGGTGACATTAATCCGAGCCAGACTCGTATGTGTATGGGCTGCCTTAATCTTCAAATAACTTGCAGCATTTTCCAAGTCTGCGTTATGCCGTGTCTTCATATTGCCTTGTAACAGCCATCAGTAATGGGCATTCTCTTTGATACTTCCATGCCCAATGGCTCTCCTTATGTAGCTTTGGCATAGAGACAAGCACCCGCAGCATTTCCTCTACTATTGTTTGCATGTTAATTGCTGCAGAATATCCTTTAGAAAGCCATTTCATAGCAGTGGACATCTCTGTGTTGCTTCTCTGATTCCATTGTTGTGAATCATTCCAGAGCATTCAACATCAAAACCCCGGGAGTTCAAGGAGAGGCAGGGTTTCTACAGGAGACGTGGGGCCTTGAGACGGCGTGTACACCAAGTAAATGGTCACAAGTTCATGGCCACATTCCTCCGTCAACCAACCTTTTGCTCCCACTGCCGCGAGTTTATCTGGTGAGTTTCTTTGTTCCACCATAATGTCGTAACATATTTTGTTAATAATTTGTTCATAACACAGCAACTCACCAGTGCATGGGTCTGTAAATTTTACAGGGCTGAGTGACTTACCCATGCATTACGCAGCCTAGCAGATTTAGATCACGGTGACCTACCAGTCATTATACCCATCCCTTCTTATTGATACCCAGATGTAAAACTGTTTCATCGTATTTCCCATCTTTTACTGAAGTCTTAGGTATTTTTCCATAAGGAAATATTTAAATTTTTAACACTCACCATTTAGAGTAAACCAGATAGACAAGATTGTTATAAAATGTAATACCTGTACAGAAATATGTATGAAATGCAAACAGCATGAACATATTAAAGTTGCATGGGATATTGGCATTTCTCATGTGTAAAAGTTGTTGTCTAAGTTATGGTTTACTGGTGGAGCCATAATGTTTAGCTGACTATGGTGCATCTGGAAGCCAGTTAGCTCTTCATATTAAAAATCCTACCCACCTACCGTCCTCCTTCATTGGCCCTTGTGGTTACTGAATATCTGTGTTCAGAGCTTGAAAATATCACAGGTGGATGCAAAAGATATTTTGGTACTGGCAGGATGTGCGCTTTAAGTTGGCTCTGCTACTAGGTGGCAGTGTTATATGACTGTTGTATATTTCAGGGCTTCAGTATCAACAATGCCATTCATTTTGTTTTTGGATCCCAAAAGGATGCTTGAATGCATGTGGAATATTAGTTTGATGTGCTCAAACAGAATTGCTTAAGCATTGTATATAATAAAACTTCATTGTGTTTGCCAGCTGCCATGAACTGCATTTATTATCTAAAGTTGCTTTCAAGTTTTTTTTATTGCTAGTGGGGTGGGACTAAGTCCCTTGTACTGTGGCCACTTCTAGTCTATTGTACCAGCCCCAGATGATAGGTGAGGGTTATTATGGAGCAATTGGTGGAATGAAGATTGGCAGGGGAAACCAAAGTACTTGGAGAAAACCTTCCCCAGCACTATTTTGTTCACCACAAATCCCACTTGACCAGACCCGGGATTGAACCCGGGCTGCTGCGGTGGGAAGCCAGCGACTAACCACTTGAGCTGTGGCGTGGCCCTGCTTTGAAGTTACTGGCATCTGTAATGAGCGAGGGGATTTTGGACAGTTCTCGGTGGTTACCATCTGCTCCTTCAGGTGACTATGCCAGAGTTGTAACATTGGTTTACCAATGAAATACCTGAATCTCTGTTGTCCTTTCTGTTTGTTTTGTGAACAGACTATAGAAATATTGGGGCACGCGGTAGCGTAGTTGGTTGAGGGGCTGTGCTACAAGCCGGAAGGTCATGGATTCAAGTCCCAATGAGGTCATTGGATTTTTTTCAATTGACCTAATCCTTCCAGCCACACTATGGCCCTGGGGTTCACTCAGCCTCTAACAGAAATGAGTACCAGGAATTAATTAAATAATTTTCCTGGGAAGTAAAGCACCGCCGGCGCGTAAGGCTGGCAACCCTACCACCATCTTTGAGCCGATTGTCTGGATAATATGGGATCCTCAACGTCTCACAACCCTATGGGCCTTCACGGCCTGGTACAGGGATAGCTTTACTGGTTTTTTTTTTTTTTTTTTACAATAGAAATATCTTATTCCTCTGTTCAGCTGATTTTGATCGGTCAGCACGAAAATAGACATGTTGTATAATTTAATTGTTTATGAGTATTTTAGTGTTGTCATTATACTAGGTATAATTTTTTGAAGATACTTTTTCACTTAGATCAGTTTACGAATAAGAAGAACTCGGCTTCCATCTTGAGATTTGATGAGTAAGCTAAGCTAAGCTTGCTTGCAAGCACTATGGTCTTCTGAAATTTTGGCCATCTTCTCCCAGACTTCTAACCCCTGTCACATACTAGAAGATAGCCGTTCTCTTCCTATGAAGTGATTATTGCAAACTGGTTGTAAAGAGAATTGCTTCTGTAAAATATTTGGTACAGTTTTTTTAGTACATTTTGTAGCAGGCTGTTCCAGAAATGTGGAGCTGGGATACCTCAGTCAGTATAGCAAGTAGGCTGTGTGCTGGACAGCTGAGGAGTCAGGGTTCAATTCCTGGTAGGAGCAGGAGATTTTTCTCTTTTCCATAATGTCCAGACCAGCTCTGGAGCCCTTCCAGTCCTCTATACAGAGGTTCCTGGGGTCTGTTTCCCCAGCAGTAAAGCAGCTGGGGCTTGAACCTGACCCCTTGGCTGAGTCTAGTGCTGAGGTTAATAATGGTGGATCTATATTTCCATTCCCCATGCATCTTCATGGCTTGGTGCATAATTAACTTTACTGTTTACCTTTACCTATTCCTGAAACTTAATTTTTAAGGGGGAAGAACATTTTGCATGTTTGGTTGTATAACACTGGAAACTTTACTGTGTTATTGATGTGAAAATCTTCAATTGAAACTTATTCTGATAGATGTATGCATTTCATTTATTGCAGGGGTTTGGGGAAACAAGGCTACCAGTGTCAAGGTATGTGTGTGTTTTGTGGTGTTCTTTCAATTCTTGTTCTACTCTGTTTCAGTGGTTATATGTATTCATATTGAAATATGTATTAATGTATTTGGTTAACACTGCTGCTATTCTTGTATTAAACATTGTATTTATAAAATATATCTTTCTTTAATTGTAAAGATGGGCATTAAACTCTCATCCAACACATAAGTTAGTTTCCAGGATAGTGATGGTAAATTCACATTGGACAAACTTAATACCTTACAGATTAGATAGAGATACATGAGCATGGCCATGTAAGGTCTCCTGTTAATGTATAGATACATTTTTATTCACAAATCAATAAGTGGCCCTGCCTAAACTATACGTTACATACCTATGAACGGTATCAGTGAAGGGTTTGTTGTTGATGATGACAATGACAGCAATGATAAAGTGGTAGTGGTGTTGATGGTGATGATGATGATGATGATGATGCATTTGGAAGCAAAACGTTTAATTTTATTTGGCTGATAGATCAAATTTCACATACATTAAAATTTTTCCACTCCAGAAAATAACCATGTGCATTTGTTTTTGCATGCTTGTGCAAATCCATGTTGAATAATGATTTGCTATACTGTATTTCAGTCAGAATTAACATGGATCTACAAATATCTCAAACTTTTCAGTAAATATAGCTTCAAATATTTTATATGCTGTCAAGTTCTTTATTTCAATCAGAATTAACCATGGATCTATAAATATCTCAAACTTTTCAGTAAATATAGCTTCAGATATTTAATATACTGTCAAGTTCTTAATGTCACAACAGGACATTATACAGTCTTTATCATATGACGGTTTGGTATCTCAGGCATGGGTTGGAAGATATACAATCAAGAGAAATAAACGACATCTCCCACCATTAGGAGGAAAACAACATGACCCAATGTTGGCTCACGATATTTTAACATAATAACTAATTTTTTACATACAAAAGAAAATTTTAATACAATTTTAAATACATTGGGAGGCTACCGTATGGAAAAGTGAACATCATATCGCGTGCAGTGGAAAAATCCAATCAGAATACCCAGCAAATATGCTTAAAAGAAACAGCATCATATGTAAATCTACACTTCAAGAAGCGTCATCTTGAACAACTAAGACAAACATCAAAACTAACTGTGATAATAACAAAATTTATGTAGTGAGCATTACTCATAGCTTAAGTGCATATTGTTAAAACATCTTATGTGACGGTGTTTCCTGATCGTAGCGGTGCGCCTCTGAGGATGATTCTTTTGAATCAAAACCTGTAAGGTGAATAAAGACGGAAGTGTTGTAAACTTGTATGTCACACTGGACTGAAAATTATCCACTTTGTGATTTTATTCGTGTTCTGTATTCAAGAGTTTATCCGACCTATGTTAGTACCCAGTGAATCTGAACATTCCAGGCTCCAAAAATACACAAAATGATGATTTTCAAAGAAATGGCTCTAATGAATTTGATTAAATCATATTAGTTTACAGAACCCCCCCCCCAAGGTGCTAACCCTGAAGTTGGCAACTGCAGTGTTTGCCAAAAAAAATCATAATTTTTATCTGTGTGACTATTTCCATATGCCAAAGTTATGAATAATAATTTCTTACCATCTTTATGAAGTTTTGAAACTGCAACTCGTGACTTACTTAATTGATGTTTGTGGTATAAATTTTGCTATCCCCTCATTAATGGCCATGAATCTTTAAAATGTTGGAGTATGTCTGTTGCAGTCTGTACATGTGTGGTCCACAAACGCTGCCATCATTCAGTGGTCACAAAGTGTCCTGGCATGAAGGATGCAACACAGGATGAGGTAAGTAACATGTACTAGATATGTTGTGTGTATATATGAGGGGCGTTCAAGTTCTAAGGTCTCCGAGTTTTTTTCTCAGGACTTGGAGCAGATAGACACATGCGGTTTAGTTTAAAATACATGTGCACTCTTTGTGAATGTGTGACAGAGATGGCAGCACTGTACAGCACACAGATTTCTAGTGGTGTGGGCAAGAGTGAGGAGTGTTTTTGATACCTAAAATGGCGACGTTTTCGTTACAAGAACAGCGAGTAATCATTTGTTTTCTCCAATTGCGTGGTGCGACACCCATTGAAATTCATCGCCAGTTGAGTTGGCCTCGCACCAGCCTGTCTGACAACATGGTCGAGCGAGTTGAGAAAGTTGTTTTGGAGGATCGCCGATTGAGTGTGGAAAGCATCACCTCCAAAGGTGACATTTCTGTGGGATCTGTGCACACAATCCTGCATGAAGAGCTGTGAATGTGGAAAGTGTCCTCCGGGTGGGTGCCACGAATGCTGGCAGACAACCACAAGGCTGCGCACATGGCAGTTTGCCAGGCGATGTTGACAATTGATGAGACATGGATGCCGTTTTTCAATCCTGAAATGAAGCACCAGTCAGCTCAATGGAAGCACACAGACTCACCGCCAACAAAAAATTTTGGGTAAGTGCCAGTGCTGAAAAAATGATGGTGGCCATGCTTTGGGACAGCGATGGCATAATCCTTACTCATTGCATTCCAAAGGGCTCTACGGTGATGGGTGCATGCTACCAAGATGTTTTGAAGAAGAAGCTCCTTCCAGCACTGCAAGAAGAACGGCTGGAAAAGGCTGCACATGTGCTCTTTCACCAGGACAGTGCACCAGAGCATCGGGCGTATGCGACACAGCAGTTTCTTTGTGAAAACCTTGAAGTGGTTTCTCATGCTCCCTACTCGCCTGGCCTGGCTCCTAGCGATTTGTGGCTTTTTCCAACGATGAAAGACACTCTCCGTGATCGCACATTCACCAGTCGTGCCGTTATTGCATCAGTGATTTTCCAGTTGTCAAAACAGACTCCTACAGAAGCGTTCGCAGCAGCCGTTGAATCATGGCATCGAGGTTGTGAAAAATGTTTACAGCTGCAGGGAGATTACGTTGAAAAGTGACAGAAGTTTAAAATTTTTTGTATGATTATTGTATGAGAAAAAAAATCGGAGACCTTAGAACTTGAACGCACAACGTAAAGTAATCATCCCCATGTGAAGGGGTGTTAAAATATCTCTATAGGTATAGGTAGTGATTACAAGGAGACTAAAAAGTGCCCATGTGTTGCAGGTATTCTTTACATTCCCAAAGGTTTGTCTTTCAGTCTGTAAGCAGAAAGGTTCACACATATCTGGCTGAAATCAAATTTAGACCCTTCTGAATGAGAGTCCAATGTCTTATCACAATTCCACCAGCTTCTTGGTAATTATTGATCTGAATTTACCATATGGTGCCATATAAGAAGCCTCCAAGCTATTGGCAATGAAAGTGTTGATGTAGCTTCTAAAGGGTTCTGATGATGTTGTATAACACTCAGAATTACTGGTTTTTAGGACTTTGTCCATCGGCTGGTATTCTAGAAACTAGAAAACAGGTTTGAAAAACTGGATCTGTTTTTGTAATCAGGTGAGAGGAGAGACTGAGGTTAGTTCTTTCTAAGGGACCCAACTGAGTCGGTGTCTTCCCCCCCCCCCCCCCCAGCTGAGGACAGAAACAGATCCAGTTTCTGAAACACTGTATTTTCTCTTTTCTAGAACATCAGACAATGGACAAAGTCCACAAACCCAGTAACTCTTAAGTGCTGACGCAGTCACACTACTGAGTTGGGTTACTCATGTTGTGATATTACTTCCCAGCAGCTGAACCAAGGTATCCAACAGAGTCAGCGGTTCAATGTGAACATCCCACATCGCTTTATGGTACACAATTACAAGAGGTTTACATTTTGTGACCATTGTGGCTCTCTGTTATATGGACTCTTCCGTCAGGGACTCCAGTGTGAAGGTAATTTTATTGTCATGTGTCAGTGACTAGACACAGCATTTGGAGTGATAATTAGAGTTAGTGGACTCTTATAACCCTTAGCTGTGAATGATTATAACAGTCTCACTAATTTACATGCTATAGATCACTACAACTACAGCACACATTTATTATACTGTCATCACTAGTCGTTACTAGGTAGTGGCTGCTAACAGTGCAACTCAAGACTGACTCAACTGTCAGAGTTATTTTATAACTGGAAGTTTGCCGCCATTCAGTTCATCTTGTCACCAAGCCCCTTGAGGTTCACAAACAGATTTTTTTTTTCAGTTGAACCCTTGCGGTCATAATCCATACGTAACATACTCTCTGACAAGAGGATGGGTTTGTCTCTTATGAATAAGCTTTTCCTTTGTCAGGTGTATATATCACACTTATAACATGTTATTAAAAATTGTTCTTGTTGCACTGTATAAAAGTCCTCTGTCAGTCCAGGCTTTGCGGAGCAGATCATGCCTATCTTACTTATCTGATGCTGTAACTGCAGCTTAGTTCACTTAACCGTTCAGCGTGGTTTGACGTGTATGTTTCGTCAGGTATTTAAATCGTCTGGGGGGGTTCGACGTGTATGTTTCGTCCAGCTGCACACCTATGTTATAACGCCCATAATAATTGATGGTTTTGCTGTAGATTGTTAGATATTTTGCTGGCCTGTTGTCAGGAGAACTGTATTTAATGACACGCGTTTAAGAGCGCTAAGTCATCGTTACATATGCCTGTCTTGCAGCAACGTTCCTGTGGCTATTGCGAGCGGTTTCTTGGTTCTACTGTTATGAATGGCGTGTTTTCTTTGCTATGAAGCTATAAACAGCAGAGACGTGATATGTGCTGTGTTTATAATATCATATTGCCCTGAGCTGGCCACACTAACACACTCAATTGGAATTCTTAGAAGAGGGATGTACAAACTTTATTCTTGCAAAATCGATTGCTTTCGCACAGTACATAGCACCCATTTCTTAGAAAAACGCCACAATTTAAGGCAGAACACTGTGGTCACCCCCTGAGACGATACGGATGTGTGTGGGGGAGGGAAAAGAACTCATTCCTTCGCTCATTATCGCTCCAGTTGACTCCATTTTATCGTACTGACCTTGGTGGTCGTTTCGAGGGATGACCATAAATATTTTTTTGAGCCAGCTAAGCTCTACTTTCGTTCACTACATACCAGACAGTTCTTAGAATAACTTCATGAATTCTGTGGTCACCCCTACGACATCTCCTGCCGCCAAAATGGATGGAATATCAAAGGCATAGCAACAACCCCTTGTTATGATAACTCGTAACGTTGAATTTACTACAGCTGACCTGGCAACTAAACGGGTCACGGAAAGACATTTCCTTGAACTATACCCCTCACGGGTAAGAAGGCAAGGGCCAAAGAAAGATACACAATATTGGAGCGGTGAATGTGGGGCACCGTTGGGTTATACGAATGCTTCAGGGCCTTCCTTACACTGCTCAAATTCTACTAAACCAACTGCTTCCATTACCGAGATACAGGGCACTCATATTATAAGGTAAGGTTATAAAAACCATCTTTTAAGATCATTTTAGTGAAAGTTTCATCCTTCAAGGCGTACCATTCACTGCTCAAATACTAAACAACCTGCTTCCATGGCCGAGATACAGGGCGCCCATATTATAAGGTAAGGTTATAAAACCACCTTTTAAGATCATTTTAGTGAAAGTTTCATGTTCCTATCTCATAGAATTTAAGAATAATGATGAATAAATCATTTTCGAGCAAAATTTAAATGGCCGGCTGAATATATTACCGCCGGAGACGCGGCCGCGGAATTTAAATGACCGCGCCAAAGGGTTAAATGGTCGTAAGCTTGACTGCCGCAAAGTTTAAAGCCTCTTATATTTTCTGTGTCTGACTTTGACTTGTCATATACTGCAAACATGTTTATTCCCATGATTTTATATGACTCATGCTTGTTGCCTGTACAATTTTTTTATATAATTGTGTACATACGGAAGGTTGAAAGCTGTGCGTAAATCACGGACAGGTATGCATCTTGGAAAATTTCCAATGGTATGGAGAACCATGTTTTGCAAATGCTCCTATGCAATGGGAACCAGGAGCTCATTCCTCAGGGGTAAAGCAGCCAGCACGTGAAGGTGACCGGTCACTTCCATCTAATGCCAAGGTCAAGAATGGTGGAGCTATACCTCCACTCCCCAATGTCTTCATGGCATAGTACTTAATTAAGTTCAGGAACAACTTTTCCTTTTTTATACCATTGAATTCAGCATTGTTGGACTCACTTAAAAATATGTAATTTTAATATATAAATCCATTTTATTCCCTCATATCCTGTTTCTTGGGCACAGAAATTATATTTGCTGGAACTTTCCATGGTTCAGATATTCAGTGATGTCTTCTCACTCAGTCAGCCATGTCAAGAGTCTGCACAATTCATTGCCCAAGAAAACTTTGCATTGTCTGACCATGACAGCTTCAAATCTGACATTCTTTAGACATTGGTCACTTGTGGGAATATGTTACCCATAGCTAGAGTTGACCTTGTGTGTATTATTGTTCAACATAGTAAAGTTAGTTTTTCTTATAGTTGCTGTATCATTAACAAATTTTATTGTTAATTATGTTGCTGCAGTTTGCAACATGAATGTACATAAGCGATGCCAGAAGAATGTGGCCAATAACTGTGGCATAAACACAAAGGAAATGGCCCAGATCTTGGCAGCCATGGGAATCTCGACAGACAAGCTGGGTCCACCACCGCGTAAACCCAATAAGGTTGGTTATACACCATTCTTTATTTCTCATATATTTCCTGTTGTCTTCTTTGTAACCTTTTCTTTATTTTTTGTTCATTGTACCATTTTCCGTCATAATTTGTCACGTTAATATATATAAAAACTACAAAAATGGCCTCCAAGAATTTACTGGAGTACCTGCATTGTTATGCCAACACAGTTGCCAGCCATTAACGACAATGGCAGTAGGTCACTTCCTAAGCAAGCCTTTCCAAGTGTGTCATTCTGTTTCAGACATTTAAATCGTACACATACAATGAGCTCATGTTATTGTGGGCATTAACCTTTAACACATGCTCTGTTTGGGAGTGCTGACAGTTTGACCTTGGGTTTTAAACCAAAACAAACCCACCTGTCAGTGGTTCATTCATTAGCTCTGAACAATGAAGTTGTGGTACTGGTTTCGATACTATTTACATTTAGATATGACTGTTTGTGACCTGGTCAGCCAAATATAGCCCAGCTTTGTTTCAAGAACTGATGAGGAAATATTTATCGGTGCTTGCATATGAGTGCTTCCAGAGCCTTCAAGGAAGTGTGATGCATTCAAGGATTGGTTTCCAGTGGCGAATTATCAATTAAAAAGTCAGTGTCATACTGTCATATATTTCTTTGTATATCATTTTTATTTTGTGTCTTGGAAGAGGTATATACCCACTGAGCCAGTATTTCTTTGTGAGTAAAAAGCATCTTCGCCGCTGTGCCTTTCGGTATCTGTGTCGGACTGGCACTCTTTTCGACTACTATTATAATTACTTTGCATAACTGTTTTGCGACTATTACTAATAGGTGAGAGTGTCGATTTGTCAGTCAACATAATTTATTCGATTTTGCCTCCCCAAAGATGATTCTTCAATCGCACAAGGTGAATATCACGGTCAGTGGTGTTTCTCGGAGGGAGGCCAAGGTTATCTGGGGCCCAACTGAGTCGACTGGAGGTGAAACATTCACAACACTGGCCAACCAAAAGGAAACAAAGACGTCGTGTGTTTCGCTAAATAAGAAAAGCAGGAGCACGCTCTTCTATTGTAAAAAGTGTGATTTTGCTTTGTGTGAGGTGGACTGCTTCGAGAAGTGCCATGTGCGTCAGTGTGAGTCTCATAAACTGTGAAGTGATGCAGTTCAAACTCACATACAGTAAAATTATTGTATATAGTGTGATTATATTTACAATATCACCAAGTCTCGAAGTTCAATATCACAAGGCAAATATCATGGACAGTGGCGTTTCTTGGGGAAGGCCAAGGTTATCTGGGGCCCAACTGAGTTGACTGGAGGTGAAACATTTACAAGACTGGCCAACCAAAAGGAAACAAAAATGATGTTGTGTGTTTCGCTAAATAAGAAAAGCACGCTCTTCTATTGTAAAAAGTGTGATTTTGCTTTGTGTGAGGTGGACTGCTTCGAGAAGTGCCATGTGCGTCAGTGTGAGTCTCGTAAACTGTTAAGTGACGCAGTTTAAACTCGCGTACAGTAATATTATTGTGTATAGTGTGATTATATTTACAATATCACCGTGATTCAAGGTTGAAGAAAAAACAGGTAAGCCCTTTGGAATTTCATAACATATATAATAAAGATCATATTTTGCATTTCAAGACAAAATAGTCACAGTTAATTTTTGTTTGTAAAATTTGCTCTTTTGTGTATATGTAGAAAAATTTATTGTCTCTCAGCTTGTTTTTAGTTCGTATGTCTATGTTGCATAGAACGGAAAATATGTATTTTTTTCTGAAAGTTTGCAATGTTAATTAAGCCGATTTAATTACCAGCCACAGAGGGCTCCCGGCTATTTAAAGGTCCTTTCGTTAAAGGTTAAAAAACTTGAATAACACAACAGTATATATGTTCTAAACTAAAACTACACAAAAATATAAACTCACATTAGCCAACTTGAACTTCACTTTACACTGGAAACCCACCAATCTCTTTGTCACACAGAACTAAGATATAAATTCAACAATAACTTCTTCAATGGGAACTAGAACTTCACTTTGCACCCTCTTCCTACAAGTACTTAAACTAGTGGAAAAACACAAAACAAACATACAAAACATGTATGCCTTTGACTAATAACGTACTCAAACGTGTAATATTTAGAGGCTTCATACTAAAACTACACCCTGTTTTCTCTCATATCAAATATGGACTCATAAAATCTGATTCACTTTCTATTCATATAATCATTACAACATATTTTGTCCAAATCACTGTCCATATTTCGCGCGAAATTATGAATAATAGTGCAAGAATAACCTAAATGACACATTGTCATTCACTACACACCCACTACTCGTATATGCACTTACTTTTGTTAACTCAGTAAATATACGTAATGGTGTAGTCTTCCTTCACGCACACTTCAGTTTCATGGTTCAGAGAGAAAACGCTTCAATTTCGTTGTGGAATAGAGGTAACATGTTTGTAAAATTTCGTGCACTCGCCATTACTCGGTGTGGGATAATACACACATTAAAGCCTACCATTTGCACTATCTCACTGAAACTTTTAAGATATACTTTCAGGCAGATAATTAATCAGAACTTGTACATATATATGTACATAAACACACGCAACACCGTCTTATTATTTATAAACACCTCCTCATACCAGGAAAAAAACGTACCTTGATGATGTACACCAGATATTTAGGTCACAGTGACAGGGCAGCCAACCTCTTAACACGACTGAAACCGAAACATCCCATTATCAGTTTGAGTACAGGGCGGTAATTTTTCACGCTTTCTTTTACCCGTTTTCATGTATAATATTATTCTACTTCCTATCCAGGAAGGGAAAATCGGGGGAAACAAATGCCAGGCAGTCACTGAATTGTTCGCGTATCGATCCACGAAAAAGAAGGGAACGATTATCCGATAATAAAGATTTTTTGTCATAACGTTATGCCATTGGAGGTTAGCATAATGCCATAATATGTGATATTCAGTAGTCATTTGTATCACCGTGGAGGATGCGCAAACTCGTGAGGTGGGAGCGGCGTTTTCGACACAATATAAGCCATCACGTAGCAATATAATCTCGGAATATAATAGCATAGATTGATATTATGGGTGGAAAGACCGTGAACACGCTAAATTGTATACGTAACGTCATATTTCGATTTATAGACCATGTTACGACGGTCCTATATTACGTTCTGTTAAATAGCAGCTTCCTAAATGACGTCACGCTTTGGTGTGCGCAATGAACCACTGCGCATCCACATGTAACTCGGGGGTACCATTCGCTGATGTTAGGTTGTGTTAGGTTAGGTTAGGTTTGCGCAGTAGACTACTGCGCATCCATCTGTACCTTGGAGGAGGCGAACCTCGGTAATTTACGCTAATGTTAGGTTGTGAGTGTACATTATGACAGATGTGCGCAAATGACTACTGCGCATCGTTATGCTCAGTTGAGCACTGATTGGCCGTCGGCAATATCTTACGATTGAATGTCTCTCATAGCGTATGAAATCAATATATATTTGTACGGGACATTTTATTTCCGAAGTTTCTCACATGATAAACTCTTGCATATATGTTTTCTGTTAAACTCTACATGATCTATTAAGCCTGGAATATATTACGACATTTATAATGGTCGTAAATGCATTTTTTTTTTCAAAATATTGACATTTCAGAACACTGTCAAGTGCATGATATCACAGTTATCTTCATTGACTGTTACAATTTTTCAGCAGTTCCCAAAAATTCTCTTTTCGTATGTTCCCATTATTAACTTTATTGTGTTTTTCGACATATGTGAATGATATACATATACTTTATATGAAAGGTATCCACCCCACAATACTAGTGCATAAATATTAGATAGGGAAATCACTGATTATGATCTGAACCTAAGAAAATATCATTCACCATTTTTCTAAGCATTGAAACAAAGAACGAACACATCAGTATATATGTTCTAGACTCAACTATAAAATACAATTACAAGAATGTCAGCTGTAACAACTCGTGCTTTCCTGGTAACAGTGTGATTCTGTAAGCAGTTTAATAGATGTAAAGAAAATAATTCCCTGGTGCTTTATACTTCCTGCTCACACATGTAAGTCTGGAAGATTAGATGGCAAGAATGCAGTCCGTAGCCTATCACATGGAAATACACTTCTGTCTTAGAAATCACTTGCCATCATTCTTCATGCTATAACACACACTCTACACACCAGTGACAACATGTGTTTCACTTAGCTACCACCTTGTTACAAGCAAGAATTCTTCATGCAAACAAGTTATGTACATAAAAGGGGAAACTTTTGAATCCATTGTGGGTGAATGGAAATGTTAACATACTTGAAAAAATACAAAAACGTCACTACACATCACTGTATATATTACACACAAAAATATAACATCACACTAGAGAATTTAAACTTCACTTTACACTCGACATTATTGTGACCAAAACAACATACATTATACCCACCATTCTTTGTCACACAGAACTAAGATATAAATTAAAAATAACTTCGTCAATGGGAACTAGAACTTCACTTTGCACTCTCTTCTTACAAGTACTTATACTAATGCAAAAGAAAGTATATCATTCTGACTAATAACGTACTCACACTTGTAATATTCAAAGGCTACATACCAAAATTACACCGTTTTTGTCATACCAAATATGCACTCATGAAATCTAATTCACTCTCTATCCATATAACCACTAAACACATTTTGTGCAAATCACTGTACGTACTTCATATGAGATTATTATTAATTGTGTAAGAATAACCTCAGAGACGCATTGTCTTTCACAGCACACCCATTTTTCTTATATGCACTTACTTTCTTTAAATCAATCAATGTACATAATGGTGTATTCTTCCTTCACACATACTTCAGTTTCATGGTTCAGAGGGAAAACACTTCGATTTCCTTGTGGAACAGAGGAAACACATGTTTGTAAAATTTCGTGCACTTGCCATTACTCGGTGTAGGATAATACACACATTAAAGCCTACCATTTGCACTATCTCACTGAAACTTTTAAGATATACTTTCAGGCAGATAATTAATCAGAACTTGTACATATATATGTACATAAACACGCGCAACACCGTCTTATTATTTATAAACACCTCTTCATACCAGGAAAAAAAGTACCTTGATGATGTACACCAGATATTTAGGTCACAGTGACAGGGCAGCCAACCTCTTAACACGACTGAAACCGAAACATCCCATTATCAGTTTGAGTACAGGGCGGTAATTTTTCACGCTTTCTTTTACCCGTTTTCGTGTATAATATTATTCTACTTCCTATCCAGGAAGGGAAAATCGGTGGAAACAAATGCCAGGCAGTCACTGAATTGTTCGCGTATCGATCCACGAAAAAGAAGGGAACGATTATCCGATAATAAAGATTTTTTGTCATAACGTTATGCCATTGGAGGTTAGCATAATGCCATAATATGTGATATTCAGTAGTCATTTGTATCACCGTGGAGGATGCGCAAACTCGTGAGGTGGGAGCGGCGTTTTCGACACAATATAAGCCATCACGTAGCAATATAATCTCGGAATATAATAGCATAGATTGATATTAT